ATATATATATATATAATGTTTTAAAATTAAATAATTATTTATCTATTCAAATTAACGTATATTATAATTTTCGATATTATATCAATAATATTATTAATATATTTATAGATAAACTAATAATTTGATAAATATAACTTGTTATATATTAATATACTTTTACAAAAATATAAGTATATTAATTAGAAATATATATCTGATCTTATATATTTATATTTTTGTAAAAGTATATTAATATATATTAAGTTATATTTATCAAATTATTAGTTTATTTATAAATATAGTAAAAATATTATTGATATTAATTTATCAGTAATATTAAAATACTAATAATATATAAATTTTATTTATTTATTAATAATATATATATATATATATTAAAATTTTAAAATTATTAAATTTTTAATGAGAAAGACTAAAATTGTACAATAATGATATTTGAGAGATTAAAATTGTTCAATTAAAAATTGTGAGATTAAAATTACACAACTATAATCTTTTAAGGACTGAAATTACTCAATTAAAACTTTAGAGATCAAAATTGCATAATTATAATATCAAAAACACAATTAAGTAAAGAATATTTTATTCACAGTTTTGGAACGGGCCGTTCTGAATGCAGAACGGGCCGTTCTGGTTGTCAGAACGGCCCGTTCTGCTTCACTGATGGTGTTTTAATTTTGCAACCAGAACGTCCCGTTCCGGTTTCAGAACGGCCAGTACCGGTTTCAGAACGGGCCGTTCCGGTCCAGGTGTTTTCAAGAAAAATTCTCATCCACGTGGATGCCACGTATGCATCTTCGTGGCATCCACGTGACTAAAAGTTAACTCCGTTTAAATAATTTAGACGGAAGTCCCACATTGAAACCAATTAATTAATTTGGGACTAAATTGATACCAATTAATTAGTTTGAGACCAAATTGAGACCTAAAATAAAAGTTGAACTACATTGAAACAAAAAAAGATTATAAGGGACCAAAATAGGTTTTTAACCTAATCTTTATTATTCTTTATATGATTTTCTTGAATTTTTATACTTACAAGACGACTTTCTATGATTTATGAATTACGAATGTGAATCTTCTACCTTATGAGATTTGAAACAATTGTTTTATACATAAAATATATTATTAAACTATGAAAGATTTTATTTACTTTAAAGGAAAAAGAAACAATATTTTGTTTACATTTATTGTGTATTAATGTTGGGGTAGAGGGTGTCACAGAACTCAATCATGTTTGACAATTTTTCCTTTTCCATTTTGAAAGTTATATTTTTTTTTGTTAAGTACTTTATTTTGGTATATACTTTTTACTATATTATATACGTATACGATGTTGAAAGTCAGATTTTTAACATTCACATTTATTTATTTTGATTTTTCTCAATCATTTAAAATAATTTCTAAAGAATGTTTGAGAGAAAAAAAAAATATTTCACGTCTAAGAATCATGTTTATTGAATATTAAGAATTATTATTTATAGAAATAATTTAAATTTATTTGGTACGTTATAAATATTTTTAAAAATATTTATATATATTATTTGGAAATCAAATATTCATATTATATTAACTCAATAAATAAAATAATGTGATATTTTTATTGTAATAAAACTCGAGAACGCTATGACCTTCTTATGAGTACAATTTTATACAAACTTTATATAAAAATATTTTCCAAAAATAATATTTTTAGAATTTCATATTTTAAATAATAAATTTAACAAAAATATCATTATCAACAAATTATCGAGAAAAATAAAAACTTTATATATACCGAACACTCTATTAGAATATATTTGATAAAACATTGAAAAGGCTTAAAGTTTGTATATAAGTTTATAAGCATTTTTAAATTTAAGCATATAAAGTTTTTTATTTTTTATTATTTTTTTATTTTATAGTTTTATCGCAGATAATATAATTAATATTTAGATTTTTTTTATGATTTCAAGTATATAATTTTTTGCTTCAAAAAAAGTATATAATTTCTGAATTTTATTTAACACACTATTTTAGAACATAATTCAGTTATTTTTTTGCCTATGATTTTCCAAAAAATTTAATAATTAGACGCATTTTACGTTATAATGAGATCAATATTCAAATTTCATTATACTATAATAATAAGTATTTAATTTCTAAATTTTGCATCAAATGCGATTTTTCATAACATAAATTCTGTTAATAATATTTATATGTGAGTAATTATGTAATTATTTTATGGTTTAAATATGTTTTTAATCTTTTAAATTTAAGATAATCTTGTTTTTTATTTTTCAAATTTAAAATCATTGTTTTTAATCTTGTAATTTTTAAAAATTTTATTTTAGTATCTCAGATCCCCAATAACATATATGAAAGTAACATATTAAGATGATTATTCAATATCAATTAAATCAATGTGATATTTTTATTAACAGAGACATTAATAGATATATTTTATATAATAATGTTTAATAAAATTTTTAATAAAATTTGAATGTCTTCTAAAAAAAATAAATTTTAAATATAAGTATTAAAAGAAGATTTTTTGAACTATAAAAACAAAAAATATTAAATTTATATTTGAGAAAAAATAAGTTTAACTTAAATTTAAAGAACTTAAAATTTAGTCTTATTTTATTATTGATTTATAAGTTACTACACTAAAAAATATTAAATAAATTTCACGACAATACGGGTCCATTCATCGCACTGCACTGGTTTGGTTGACCCTTGTAGTGAAAATCCAAAACAGAAGGTATTTGTAATTTTAATTAATGATTACCGTAAATACAAATTTGAAAGTTTGAAACTTTTTAGTGGGTAGTTCCGAAGTTTGAAGTTTGAAGTTTGAAGTTAGAAGCATGAACATGACACCCTTTTCACAAGCCTAATAATCCTCTTCGCCGTCTCATTGCATTGCAATATATAGAGACACATAGCTATTAACACTTCACTTTCGCTCTCTCTAGATTTGGTTTGTGTGTGGTAGCTTCATCGTCCCCACTGAATAGTGAAGGGTACATAGCACCCCACCACCCTATTTCACTCTCCCAATCATGCCTTCGGGTGCTAAGAAGAGAAAAGCTGCCAGGAAAAAGAAGCAAAAGGAAAGCAACATCAACCCATCAGCCAACAACCCCAAAGGTACATTTTTTCCTTCAAATGCATGTGCAATTGGCAATTAATCATAGATGGGTCCTTTTCATTTGTGTGTTATAACTCCTTTTGGCCAATTTGGTCTATTTGGGTAGATGGGGTTTCGATAATTATACTTGTTTTGCATTACTTTCATTGAATTTTACTTCTTTAAATTTTCGGTGGTGTTGGGAATATGCAGGTGTTATTGATTGTAGTTGGGGGTAGTTGAGTTGGGTACACGGGTATTTGTTAATTTGGTTGTTTTAATTGATAATAGTTTGATTGGTTGTATTACAAATGTTAGATAATGATGATTTGAAGTCCCAAGATGGGAAAGGAAGTGATGGTAATTCTCCTGTATATTATGAACATGATGGCCTTCGTAATCCATCCAATGATGGAAGTGAAGAGCTGGAAGAGAGGGGGCCATTGACTGCTCAACCGCGTGCTTCTGATGTCGAGTCCTCTGAAGAAGTCCCTCGTGATGTCAAGATTGACCATTTGTTAGGAGGAGAGGAAGGTGGTGGTGTTTTGGTAGAGAGAGGTTTGGAGTCTGAGGAAAGTTCTGAGAGCACAAATGCAAGTTTTGAGCACATTGAGACTGCCAAGGAATCACATTATCAGGATGGGAATGGCTACGATATCTCAAAGGGTGAATCTTTCACTCAGAAGAGAGGTTTGGAGTCTGAGGAGATTTCCAAGAGCAAAAATGTAAGTTTTGAGCATATTGAGACTGCCAACGGTGGCGATACTTTAAAGGGTGAATCCTTCCCTGAAAAGAACTCAGAGGATGGGTATTGTAATTCAGTTGAAGAGGCAATTGCAAGTCATGAGTTGGTTAAGTCCATTGATTCTTCCCCTTCCAAAATGATTTCTATTACTGAAATGGCACCAGTTGAGGAGACTGTTAATTCAGCTTCTGACCCTGCTGTTACTTCAATTAAGGCCATGAATTTTGTTTCTGAGGTAGAAAAGAGCGATAGTGGAAGTGTATTACTAGAGAAGTCAGTGGTCCATCCTGCAGAAGCGACCAACTTTGCTATGAAGGTAAATGAGGACAATGCATACTCCTTAACTAATCAGAATGTGACAACATCAAGTGTAAAGGAACCTAAGCCAAAGGAATGTGATAATGAAGTGTTAGCTTCACTGTCTGCTAGTCCTTTCACTAAATTTACTAATGGTGCAGAAAATATTAAGGATTCCAAGACTGCAGAGCAATCTGAAAATCAGGTTTTACATTTTCTCACACTTATATTACAAGTTTCACTACTCAATTATAATTTGTAAATTCTTTTGTTTAAAGCTTATTTTAAATATATTCTTATTTGCTGAATTAATATGCAGCCTCGTGTAGCATCGGCTCCAAATGTGGTGAAAAAGACCTCCTGGTTGAGTTGCTGTGGATTGTTTGAAGTTCTGTTAACTTCAAATAGATAATTTCAGGTTTTGCCGTTGAAGGTATTTTACCTTGTAAAATCATATTTCTATGGACTCACTTTCAACTTAAAAGGTTGTATTTACAGACATAGATATGATCCCATCCCATATGCTTTGTTATTGTTGTTTTAAGTGCTTAACCTGTTGCATTGTTTCTAATTGGTTCGGTTATTGGCGCTTTACGACTTTTATATCATTAGTGGGGGAGTTTGGTGGTGTTTTTTTTTTTTTTTTTAACTAATTATTGCTCGTTTGTCTATGGTGAATGTGGGGTGTGTCGTTGGTCTTTGGGCCGATTTTTAGATGCTATCTTTAATGGTTTCATTACAGATGAAGATGCTAAATTTTTGTGACTATCAATCCATGCTATTATTTGGTTCATTTGGATGGAGCACCATGCTCATATTTTTGACGAGAGGTGCTTGCTTAGAAGCTGTTTTGTAATGAGATTAAGGCAATTAACACTTGGTTTAAAACACATGGTCTATTAAGGGGGGTTTTCTGTAACATACACACAGTGATTAAGTAACTTTGCTCCATTAGTGTTTTTTGTTTATTTTTCAAATTCTTTTTTTTTGGTGGATCTCTTATCCTCCAATTGTCTTGTAATTTTATTTTCTTCAACTGATTTTCTTCTTTTATTTTTGATGACTGTCTTGCGTATGAGATTCATGAGCAAAAGGGAGGGTGTGATTCTTCTAGTAACAGTGTGTGCATAACTGCATATTATTCTGAAGGTCATTCTTTGTTAATTCAAGTTCATCTTATTCTGAGTGTAATCAAATATTCATGTTTTTCGGACATGGATTTAAATATTTAAGATGTAATTTTTAGTTCTCTGTGTTGTATTAATTGTTTTTTAAGTTATATTATTCTCTGATAATGTTCATTTTGGGGATTATTGGAGTAGTATGTCGCTGTATCATTATACATTTTAAACTTGCAAATCAAGTTATGGTTGACAACATCTTCACTCTGTTTTCTTGCAGAAATACAAGCGCGAGTATTTCAACTGATGGGTCAAACTTGTGAAGATTTAGAAGAACTTTCTTAAGAATTTTGTGATATTTTAATGTAGATTATCTCCTTTAAGATCTTCAAAAATATAGCGGGCAAGTAGGCAAAACTGTGTAATCCATACAATGTTTGTTTTCATTACAGTTGGAATTGTTTGTGGTTGTTGTGTTAGCGACAATTACAGTCTTGCAAACTGATTTGTTAATTTTATGATTTGGAATTTTTGTCTTAGTACTGTTTTCTGTTTATTTTACTCTTTCTAATAATGTAGAGCAGCAGTTGGCCAGCGATGAGACTTAGAAATCTCCTTAAGAAATTCACTTTGATCTGTATCATCTAATGCGCGATTCTCATGCATAACCACTTACAATTATGTTTGCTGTGCTGTTTGGGTGGAATTTTGTAAGTTCATTTTTAATCAAATTAAGTATTACATGATGAACTGAGCCATTACAAATCAAGATTCTTCGTGTTCTAACTGTTGGGAACAAAAACTCGATTTCTCATGTACGCACAACTAATATTTTAGTTTGTGGAATGTAAAGTTAAATGTTTATTATTTATTTTATATATATATATATATATATATATATATATATACTATGTGT